TATGAAGGTAGTGGGGTTAGAGGAAGAATTAAAAAATGTAAAAGACAAAAGTAGTAGAGAGAATTGGAGAGAGAATACATGTTGGATCCACTAGATGGAAGAAATTAATTAAATATTGTAAGAGCTTTCCAAAAAAAAGGAAATTGAGCAAGTATTTAAAAACAGCCGCAAATGAAAAGTGGAGCAAGTATTTAAAAACGGAGGGAGTATAAGATTGTTGTTAATAGCATTGGCTTAAATGAGTAGTGGTTAAAGATGAGAATAATTCTCGTCCTTTGTTTAGTAATTCATAATATATATAGAGTTGTTCTTTTCATTGGAATGTGAGGAAGGAGAGATAAAAGAAGGTAGTTGATAAGAGAGAAATTAAAGGGGAGATATAAAGAGATGTAATTTAATTCAAAGAAGTATATTTTGTTATTTCGGGTTGTAACCTATATGAATTCTTTCTTATAATCCTTATTAATATTTGAGTTAGCAATTCGTAAATTGTTATAAATCCTACATTTGGTATCAGAGCCACGTTATTTACAATATCTCAAAATGTCTACAAACTTTGTTCAACCACGAGACCCCAGTTTTCAAAAGACCAATATGAAGATTGGTGCATCAAAATGAAAGCATTATTTGGTTCCTAAGATTTATGGGAAATTGTTAATGATGGGTTTGAAAATCCATCACGTGAAACAAAAGCGACATTAACTAAAGAGAAGAAAGATGAGTTGAAAGAAAATCAAAAGAAAGATTAAAGAACACTATTTTTTTATCTACGTAGGATTAGATCGTGAAACATTTGTAAAAATATCAAATGCAACCACAAGCAAGGAATCTTGGGATAATCTTGCAACTATATTTAAAAGAGTCGAGAGAGTTTGAAAAATTCGCTTACAAGCACTACGAGGTGATTTTCAAAATGACTAGTAATGAGTCAATCTCTAAATATTTTTCTCGCCTACTTACAAATGTTAACCAACAAAAATTAAATGGAGAAAAGATCGAAGATAAAAAGATTGTTGAGAAAGTACTTCGATCATGCAATAAAAGATTTAACCATGTATAACCTGCGATAAAAGAATCAAAATATATTGATTCATTATCAATAGAAGAGCTTATGGGGGTCTCTTCAAGTACATGAACAAAGAATTCGGAAGAATGATGAACCTGACATTATAGAGCAAGCACTTGAATCAAAGTTGTCATTAAATGAAAAAAGTGGAAATCGACGAGGCGGATTTCGTGGACGAGGAAGAGATCATAATAACTACCAACCTCGCAACCAAAGTAATAAGAGAAGCTTTGGCCAAGGGAGAGGGTCAAGCAGAGGAGGAAAGAGTTTCAACGAACACAGTAAATCAAAAGACACTCAATGCTATAATTGTCAAAAATATGGACATTATGCAACTGAGTGTTGGAGCAAACAAAAGGATCAAGGCAATCGATTAAATTTTGCTGAATCATCAAGAAACAATGAAGAAAGTCCTACATTGTTACTAGCACATGAAGAAGCTAGTAATCAGCAAGACTTGTGGTTTTTCAATTCTGGAGCTAGCAACCACATGTGTGGGAGAAAAGAATTTTGCATTAACCTTGATGAAAAGATTCAAGGTAATGTAAGTTTGGGAGATTCATCCAAACTACAAGTTGAAGGTAAAAGAAAAATACAATTTTTTCTTAAGAATGGAAATGAAGAATTGGTACACACAGATATATGTGGACCATTGGAGCCAATATCTTTGGGAGGTAATCGCTATTTTATTACCTTCATTGATGATTATAGTAGAAAATTGTGGGTGTATACGCTGAAGCAGCTCCATTTGATACATTCATACAATTTAAGCCTCGAAGTTGAGCTAGAAAGCGGATGTAAGTTGAAAACACTTAGGTCTGATCGAGGGGGCGAATAAACATCAAATATATTCAAATATTTCTGTATCAGGAATTAGACAACAATTTACAGCCTCCTATACACCACAACAAAATGCAATTGCCAAACGGAAAAATCGAACAACTTTAGACATGACAAGAAGCATAATGAAAGAAAGAGGATTGCCAAAGCAATTATGGGAAGAAGTTGTTACATGGACAACCTATATTCTAAATCATTGTCCTACAAAGAGTGTAAAGAATATGACACCACAAGAAGCATGGAGTGGTGAGAAGCCAAATGTTGAACATTTTTTAGTGTTTGGGTGCATTGCCTATGCCCAAGTACCCGAGGCAAAGAAAAAGAAGTTAGATGATCGTGGTGAGAAATGTATTTTCACTGGATACAGTTCACAATCTAAAGCTTATAAATTATACAATCCAATCACTGGAAAGTTGATTGAGAGTAGAGACATAATCTTTAGTGAAGGAGAATCATGGAAATGGGATGACCAAGAAAAGGAAAAGGAGAAAGAGAAAATTGTGTTTGAAGAGTATAATGATATTACATAAAAGAATTCTGAACAAACTAAATCGAGGAACATAAGAAATAATAATGATTCATCATCACCATCAACTGAAATCAGATTCATCATAAAAAAAAAACACCTGTTAAAATGAGAAGTCTTAGAGACATATGAAGAAACAAATGAAGTTGATTTATTCTACTCACAAATGAAGTTGATTTATCCTACTTATATGCAGACCATGAACCCATTAATTTTGAAGAAGCATTAGGACAAGAGGAATGGAGATCTGCTATGAAAGAGGAGATCCAGTCAATAGAGAAAAATGATACATGGGAATTGGCTACATTACCACAAGGCCATAAGGCCATAGGTATAAAATGGGTTTATAAGATAAAAAGAGGTGCAGATAGAAGCATTGAAAGATACAAAGCAAGACTTGTAGCAAAAGGATACAAGCAAAAGTATGGTGTTGATTATGATGAAGTATTTGCTCCTGTAGCTCGTTCGTTTAGACACTGTAAGAATGATGATCTCACTTGCCGCACATCACAAATGGAAGATATATCAACTTGACGTTAAGTCAACATTTTTAAATGGAGTTTTAGAAGAAGAAGTTTATGTGGAACAACTAGAAGGTTTTGTCATCAAAGGAGAAGAATATAAACTGTTTCGTTTGAAAAGGCACTTTATGGTTTAAAGCAAGCCCCACGAGCTTGGAATACACCTATAGACGGATACTTGATCCACAATGGTTTTATTAAGTGTCCATATGAACATGCTGTATATGTGAAGAAGAATGGTGATGATATTCTTATAGTAAGTTTATATGTTGATGATCTATTATTCACCGGCAACAATCCAAGTATGTTTGATGATTTCAAAACGGCAATGTTCAAAGAATTTGAAATGACATATTGTGGGCTAATAAACTTCTTTCTAGGCATTGAGGTAAAGCAATCTAAAGATGGAATTTTCATTTCGCAAAAGAAATATGCGAAAGAAATACTTGAAAAGTTTAAGATGGACTCATGCAAACCCATGAGCACTCTTGTAACGACAGGAATGAAAATGACGAAATCAGGAGAAGGAAAATTGATTAATCCAACTTTATACGAGAGTCTTGTTGGAAGCCTAAGATATTTAACCATAACTAGGTCAGACATAGTATATGGAGTCGGGCTTGTTAGTAGATACATGGAGACACCAAAAGAGTCACATTGGTGCACTGTAAAGAGAATAGTAAGGTATATTAAAGGTACCTTAGATTATGGAATGTTCTATTCTTATGGAGATGAAGCAAAATTATCTGGTTATTCTAATAGCGATTGGGCTGGAGATCTAGATGACAGAAAAAGATATGCATTTTATCTAGGATCAACTACTTTTACTTGGCGTTCAAAAAAACAGCCAGTAGTGGCATTATCAAGTTGTGATGCAGAATATATAGCATCTCCATCTGCGGTGTGTGAAGCATTATGGTTAAGAAATCTCCTCCAAGAACTTTGTCATGCTCAAGAGGAGTCTACAATAGTGTATGTTGACAATGTGTCAGCAATAAAACTTGCTAAGAATCCAGTACAACATGGGAGAAGCAAGCATATTGATACTTCAGGAACAAGTTAAACAAGGAACAATCACACTGAAGTATTGTAATACAGATGAGCAAGTTGCAGACATATTTACGAAGCCTCTATCTCTAGACACATTCAATAGATTGAGAGAAATGCTCGAGGGGGTGTGTTGAAAATACAAACTTTAAAATAGCATTTTTAATATTAGATTGTTGTTAATAGCATTGGCTTAAATGAGTAGTTGTTCAAGATGAGAATAATTCTCGTCCTTTGTTTGTTTAGTAATTCATAAGTTATATATATAGAGTTGTTCTTTTCATTGCAATGTGAGGAAGGAGATATAAAAGAAGGTAGATGATAAGAGAGAAATTAAAGGAGAGATATAAGGAGATGTAATTTAATTCAAAGAAGCATATTTTGTTATTTCGGGTTGTAACCCATATGATTTCTTTCTTATAAACCTTATTAATATTTGAGTTAGCAATTCGTAAATTGTTACAACTCCTACAATAGCAAAATCAAAAATGCATATTACCAATAGTTCTCACAACTAGTACTACAAGACTAACACTTGACAGCTGCTTGACAATCAGTCAATCAAGGGAGAGATTCAAATTTATCAACCAAGTGAAGAAGGCTTAAGGCAGGCAGCTGATTTTAGCATAGTTAACAGTTGAATGGCTAAGGAAGCATGTCGCCATTGCAGGTTGCAGCACCATGAAAAGAAGTCCATTCAATTAGTCACATCAGCCACTAAAAAGATAGTAGCGTAGTTAACAAGCTGAAAAGCATTAATCTTTGGGGTATTTCTGATTTCAATTATGGCTTTTGGGAGCCTTCAAATTATTAAGAACGCTTTATTATACTACAAGATTTGCAAAACCTTCAAACTTTATGCTTTAAAAGTAATAAATTTGATGGTAAAGCAAGGACACAAGTATCAACCGCAGATTTAGGGTTATTAAGTTTAAGAGCAAACAGTATGACAAATAAAGTAGAAGAGAAGGGTCAACGGGTGACATACCAGGAAGAAGAAATGGATAGTCATGACGTCCGAGAACAGTATGACAAGAAAATACAATCCCAGACGTGGGACTCGAATAAGTTTGGTTATGGCACTGAAGGCACAGCTGTGTACAAGATAAGAATTGTCAGTGCCAGAGCAGAATACTAGACAACAGCAAAGCAACAATATAAACTTAATCAGTAATTACAGCTCCAGCACAGAGGAAATAGCTAATTATGCAATCCTAAAGTCTACACCACATGCAAAGGTTCATTTCGATACATGTATAAGAAGACAAAGTCCAAGAGGCTTCTCTTTTTCCATGAAAATTTCAATCATACTGAGCACACATTATTGTTGGCAAGATCAATATACAAAAGGTTCACTATTTATCATTGCCGCTTGATAACGAGCAGGCCAAATGTTCAGAATAAATGTTCATTTGTGAGAGAGCAAATACTACCATCACAAGGAAAAATGTGTTGTCATGTACCACAGTTTAAAAAATAAGAAAGTGCAACCAAAGCATGATGCCCTAAGGTAGATGGGTTAAGTTTTCACAAGTTAATACTACTTCCGTTACACATTATTTGCAACAATTACTATAAATGACCGGTACACATTACTTGCAACAAAAAAATTTCTTTCCTTCTATAGTAAGTTTTTTTGTGTGATTTTACAAAATTAGTCTTACTTTTTTTTAAACACCCTAATTAAACTACTGATTTTATCTTATTAACTTAAACCTTAAAATCCCGTGCAAATATTATTGACAATAATATTACAAAATACTAATAATTCATTTAAATATATAGGGAATATGATTGTCAATATGAAAAGAAAATATCACAAGATATTGTGGGAAAATTTTTCACAAGGTAATGACAAGTGTCATTGAGGATTTGCTTTTAGTAAAGGTTAATAGATTAACTTAACCATTTCCACCAAAATAATTCTCCTTCCATCTAAATTCATCATCACCTTCATTGGCAACCACCACCACCATCACTGGAAGTCACTGCCGCTGATGTCCCCTTGCTTGTGGCTGCCTCCGTTTTCTTTCTCTTTCTTTTCTTGTTGTTTCGTCATTGCCGCTGAAGCTCAAATTTGAAGATTTTATGGTCAAATTTAAACATGAAAACTCTAGATCTTGAGTTTTGATGGTTAAATTTGACGAATTAAAGCTTTAATTGATGAATTAGTTTGTCGTTTACATCCCTTTAGTTTATATTTTTAGGGTTGCGTTTTTCTAGGGGCGGGATTTCTGGGTTCGTCAATTTGTGGATTGTGGGTTGTGTGGTTGTGGGTTTTGGGTTCACTGGTTGTGATTTTTGTGGTTCTAGATTCGTGGGTAGTGGGGTTGTGGGTAGTGGTGGGTTGTGGTGTTGGTCCTGGGTGGTGGTGTTGGGTGGTTTCGTGGTGCTAGGTGGTGGTATTGGGTGGTTTCATGGTGATAGGTGGTGGTGTTGGGTGGTTTCGTGGTGATAGGTGGTGGTGGTGGTGGTGGTTCGTGAATTCAGGTGCTGGGTTGTTGTAAACTTTGATTTTTTTTTTTTTTTTTTTTTTTTTTTTTTTTTTTTTTGGTACAAAAGACATTTACTATGGTGCTGCTACAAATGAATTTGTGGCCTTGTACCCTGCACACTCTAACAACAACAATCATCACAACAACTAAACTACCTTCTCCTCTTTTTATTTATTTATTTATTTAATTATTTTATCTCAATAGAGTTAGCACATATGCAACACTGTCATGAGCCATCACGACCAACAAAGCAGTAAGCCAGCAAGACATATTGCACATAGAGCTGATGGAAGAATAACTTACATTACAAGCATGAAGGGAATAAATAGCTTGAAAATCAGAAGGGCTGCCATCAAGAATGGCTGCAACACATCAACGTTAGAACAGTTTGAAAAGCAAATTCAAGCAATTTTAAGGGTTCATTCCTTCACTTACACTAAAGACGGTGATGAAGCGGTACACAGATGATATCTCAAAACTAGCGATACTTGCAAAGTTTCCCGTGCCAAAAAATGCAACATTGAACAAGACCATCTGGATAGTAACCATTGCACTTGTTACTAATGATAGAATAATCCAAAATAGAATGTAAACTTGACCACAACTGCTAGGTCATATAATAGAAGACACTACAGCAAACATACATACTAAGCCATAAAAACCTATCTTAATGCTTTAAACAGGCATGCATATAAATGCTGACATGTCACTTAGTTCACCTGACATGTCAGGTTAGCTAGAAATGCTGCCAGAAGTTGAGGGTTATACTTGCCAGTCACAACTCACAACTATATGATACAGGGAACTAAACAAACAGAGAGCTTCAGCGTTGTAAGAGTGATGCTGAGCATTAAGGGCAAGGTGATATTATCTTCCAAAAGTTTAGATCAACCCAAGAATCTGTGAAGCCAATATATCTTTACTTAAAGGTTCTCTAATTTGGTTGGATAACCCAACTGTTCACTTTTTGAACTACTAAACTACTCAACATGAATGTTGTGATTTAGAATATATGAGCAACCAATAGAAAAGTGTCCCTTCTCTTGCCTATCATGGGCACTAGGAAGGTGGATCTACTTTGTCTACAAATGCTAGCTTGTCAAGTTTTTTCTTCTTGTATATACCAGAAAAATGAGGCCTCTAAAACTACAAATAAATTGCTATGTCCAAGCCAAATTAAAAAAGCAACAATGAATTTATAACAATGGTGGATATTAACCAAATGCAAGACTCGATATTACAATTTAGGATTTTCGAGAAAAGTAAGGAAACTATAACATAGATAATATTAATCCTACGTTTAAACTAAAAGAATGGCCATTAATTTACATAATTATTTTTAAAATTTGAGCTAGAAAAATATTTAATGAAGCTTAAAAAAACTAAAATAACGGTTATTAATATATATATATATATATATATATATATATATATATATGTTTATTTTAAAATTCCGAACTAGAACAAGATTCATTAAAGCTTATAAACAAATGCGAACAAATATATAGACAACTAGAAACAAGTTGTTCACGAGCATATACAAATTGAGCACTTAGTTATTTGAGCTAGACTACTTATTAACCAAGTTCCACATTCAATAATTAGGATGTCTCCTCCATTGAAAATTCTTATGGACAATTTGTACCCAACTTACATTAAGTACATGACAATAGCATAGACCCTCTTATCCCGTCAAAAAAAAAAAAATAAAAAAAAAAATAATAATAAAAAAAAATAAATAAATAAAAAAGCATTAACCCTCTTATATTCAATGCAAGACAATTGCATAAAAAACGGATAGAGAAGAGAACATACAACTAAAAGGTAAATCTCAAAGTCCACAGTGAAATTTTTGATTTTTTTATAAAAACCCTACCCTTCATCAAACTTTATATGGGGAAAAGGAAAATATAGTGGATAAAGGTGTCGAATCCTGACAATGCACATCATCCATTATGCAAGGAGAATTTATTTTCATAGTCAGCTTCCAAAATGAATACTAGAGGGGCAACACACAATCAAAACACAAACCCCCCAGCCTTAGTTTCACAATCTAATTCAATAACAATAGATCCCTTTTCTCCATCCACTACTAGGGATGACAATGGGGCGGGTCGGATGTGGATGATCGGTACCTCCATACCCATACCCGCCTAAAAATCTTATACCCATCCCCGCCCCACCACTTGTGGCGGATACAATATCCACATCCATTCCCGCCCCGCCGCGTACAAGATATGATTCATCCCCACCCCACCACTCGCTTGGATATCCATATCCACCCCATACCCGCCCTAAAACCGCCCCCAACCCATTGCCATAATGACGTATTGTGGTATCACATTTATGACGATTACATCAAATTAGGTTAAAACATTTGAGACTCTTATTGTTTGTGTGGATTAGGCCTTGGAGGGTATCAAGTTTCATAAAATTTAAACTCTTCTAAAGGAAATATGGGGAAGCGGGCATGGGGCAAGTCTACTCTAAAATCCATACCCGCCCCATCACCCATGGCGGGTACACATTTTATACCCATCACCCGCCAAACCTCCCTCCATTCCCGCCCCAATGGGGCGGATCTCCATTTAACCCAACCCACTGCCATTCCTACCCACCAACCCCCTACTCCCCTAACATAGTGATCATGTCCAAAATTGTAGACTACCATGTAAGCGTATCTAATAGTCATGTTTTTTCTTTATCAATTGTTTTGTCCAGATTTGAAGCACTGCAAGAGTGGATGCTTTTACTTGTAATAGAAACTACTATACATGGACTCATCTCCTTTTGACCAATAAGAAAAGCATTATTAAAAAACATAACTAAAAAATAGCACATAATGATGCTTTGGTCCTATACTCCTATGATAGTAGTAAATTTTATCATATACTAACTACTACTCCCTTTGTTCCTTAAAATTCTTCTCATTATGATTGTGCGCATTTGTCAATGCATTACTTTGATCATCAATATCGTTAGTTTCACATTAGTAACATGTATGACAATACAATATTAATAAATTATTCATTGTCACAAAAAAAAAAAAAAAAAAAAAAAAAAAAAAAAAAAAAAAACCAACGTGAAAATATTATGTTGCATATATTGAAATTAATTTAGAAGATTCCCTCATCTTTTGAATGGTGTCAAGATTCCAAATAGGAAGAACAAAGAGAATAGCGACTACTTTGTGTATCAAGCAGTTATGCTACCAATAAAGGTGTAGCACATTGCACACATCTTTGACTTTTGATTGATAAAGCTTTATAAACATAATCAAAGCCTTAACCCGCATAAGTGGGGTCGGCTACATGAACCAAAAGTGATTATTCCGTATAGTTATCTACAAAAATCATCCTCCTCTACACCTTACGATCAATTACCTCATTCTCATGCAAATCCATATGCTTCATAATGGAAATTGCACAAGAAAGCAATTATCATTTCAAGACTAATACTTTGCCAATAATCCAGAATAAATAAGAAACACCAGCGTAAAATCTTTTGTAGATAGATTGTACACCCTCAATTCTCTTACAAGTGCAATTAGAGGGGATGCACGTTGTTTCGGGAGATGAGAGTTGTAAAGAGTAATTAAAAGGGGAATCTCCATGATGAGGAGAGAGAGATAGAGAGAACCCTTGGCCAATTAAGTGATGGTACAATTATTTCGCAACTTAAAAAAAATATAAAAAAAAAAAAATAACAAAAATAACAAAAAAAAAAAAAAAAAAAAAAAACAAAACCAGCCATGCAAAAAGACTGAGCTGTCTATGACTTGAATTAGTAAATACCTTAAATTTTCTTGATAAACATGAAGGAGAGTGACTTACAAAGATCAAACCAATTCTTGCATCAGACAACTCCAAAGATCTATCCTCATTCTCAGTAGGGACCTCTTCAACCACACTATTTGAAGAAACTGAATATCTTCTCGCCTTACTTAAATAGAGAATTGTATTTTCAAATAGTACCCATGCCATAAGTACTAGACCAAGTGCAGCATAAAACAGTGCTTCATAGCTACAATTTTCAAAAGTTGGAAAAATTAATTACTGCTTCCAAACATGGTTAAGCACAATAAGTTGACTAAGTAGGTTTCATTGCATAAATGGAGAAAGCAGATTTACCCAATTGATAAAAGCAAAAATGCTGGTGCAAATCCAAGGAAAATGGACGTTAATCTAGACAAAAGGCAAGGTGCTGAAAATAAGGGGAGAATCATAGAAAATCCTATCAAGTGAAACATGAAAAGTGTTAGCATAAGTCTCGAGGCCAAAACACCTCCATTAAACTCAGAACAGTAATATGTAGTTTTTTATTTGTTCATTTTTTAATTAATTTAATTGAGGGACAATCTCTCTCTCTCTTTTTTTTTAAGGGAATTCAGGGGTAATCAATTGCAAGTAGGATATATTTAAAAAAAAAAAAAAAAAAAAAAAACTAAAACTTCAATGTACCAATCGCGAAACCACTATTAAAACTAGACTTAGAAACACTAATCACACAGTAACTAGAAGAAAACACATAAAGTATTAATATACTAAACCTTGTCTAGAAAGAAAGTAAATGTAAATGACTAGTCTCAACTCTCAATATGCAAGAGTTGGGCAAAACAACTTTAGGAGATGTCAGCTTGAAATGGCAAGTTCTCAGAAATATGCTACTCCCTCCGTATTTATTTAAGTAAAACGTTTTGACTTTTTTGCACTACTCACCTAATCCAGTTTGACTAATGTTAGTGATTTAAATACATAACAAAAATTACAGTATTGTGGGTATTTGTTGGAATCGTCTCAATGAATAGATTATTAAGATTCAATTGTTATAATTTATGCTTCTCAATAATTATGGAACTTTGATTGATGGAATGAATAATCATAGATATAATGGTCAAAGTTTTGCATTAGCAGACGTTGATACGTGCACATGAAAAACATTTCACTTACAAAAATAGTAAAATACGGAGGGAGAATATTTGTAGAGAATTTCATTTGACGGAGAAGAAACTGTCAAGTTTAAAGATAAACATGCCAGCTATATACAAACATCAAAGTTCTGATGTCATTAATTTTTTTCTTCTAATGTTCAAAGTAACAAACTAATTAAGCGGGTCATAATTCTACTATATTAGTAATATATTAGTCACCTCAAATTTAAATTACTCCCAGCACATCAGTAAAATAAGGTCACCACAACTTTAAATTACTCCCTCAATCTCTTAATATTAAGAAACATTTCTAGTTTTTCTACTTTTAGACATCCAAACTTCAAATAAAAGGCCACTTTCATAGTTCAGCAAGTTAAAGTTTGGACTTTGGACTTCATGTACTATCCTTGATAAACCGAAAATCACATGGAAACAAGAGATGCAGAATTATAAACAACGAAGAAATACAATGATATTTATTCACTCAATCGCTTAGAAATGCACCCCAATCAAATTTAGGGACGGATGCAGTACAAAGTTAGTGCAGACACGTTTACTTACTAGACCTGCAGAAGAAGAAGAGAGTGGCAACACTCCTTTTTCTTTTCTTTTTATCCCCTTTTTTTCATCAGCAGAAAATCAAGAAAATTTTCCTTATGGGTTCGAATTCTTTAAATACATAGAATGAAATCAAACAGCATAATCCAAAATACAAGTTACTACTTAGAATTTGGGTTAATTTGTACATGTAAAAATATAATAATTACAACTTCCGGAGTCACTAAACACACACAACGAAATCAAATAGTGTAATCCAAAATAGGTGTGCACATATTACACAAGTTACAATTAAATTCGATGAATCTTCCATGTGTTGAAAGCAATATATTACATCATCTTTAACTTGAAAAAAAAAAACGATAAATGTGACAAAATCCAAGGTCAACACAGGGAGCTTAAGGAGTGAAAGTGAGACAGAGAGGAAGATGTTGGAAATCTTGGAAAATTAGGCTTTGTTGGTATTTTGGGTACTGGTTAATTCCCTAAAAAGGATGATAGGCATAACTAAACCTGCTGTCGTTGATATATTATGTAGTGCTCCTACTGTTGGGCTGTTAAAAGTATTATAAAATAATATTCGTATTGACTTTTATCTAATTACTCAAAAAACTTGTTAGATTTTTTCCAGATCCAGTATGGGTTCAACTGAACACATACTGGATCTGCCACTGCTTTTTAATACTTTTGGGCTCATGTCTCAAGGTTGAAGAAAAGGATGAAGATGAAAGAAAGATCATACCTGCCACAAACCAATTTGTTAACTGATGAAATACAAGTAATTCTTGCTTTTGAGTTCTGTGTGATGTTGATAGAGAGAGCATCACTGACGATAAACCCACCAAAACAGCCTATGTTTTTTGAGAGAAGAAGCATCAGGAGTCTGTTCATGTTAGTCACCAAGGAGAAGAAAGAACCTGGTGAATAAATTCATATCAATGGAACTGGCATTACTATAACAAATCTATGTACCTGCAGAGGAAAAAGCATTGGTAACTTCAGCTTGGTCAATTCAGGATTTATGATATTCTGAAAATATTTATTCTCTCCGTAGCACAATTCTATCCATCTTGCAGCTAGTCCAATTAAAATAATCAAAGCTCCACAAAATACACTGTAAACAAGTAAAACAGACATCAGCATCATCTTTTACCTCATAATCAACAAGTTAAACCCAGGTTTCTGATTCCAAATTTGATTGTGAAGGTTTAATAATGTGATATTCTAAAATAAAAAAGTTTAGATCATGTTTTTCAATAATAAAACATTAACATATTTGCTAAAAATTTATACTATACATGGTTTATGGCATCATAGCAAACAAACACTATTTTTATTTCCGATTAATGTATCTGCAGTGAAACATGCCAAAAATTGAGTATTTGTCTTACTATTTTTCAATATACAATTTAAAGTTTATCTAGAATCAGACATACAAGTTCAGTTAACTACTACTTATTCTCATAATTATTTAATTTTGCTTTAAATATCCTCTATCGAGTATCAATATAGCTTTCTTTTAACCATATATTTCCTTCATCTCATTTCAGTTGACACGTATCCTTTAGGCATGTTTTCTAACACATTATATCAATTTTGATATCTTCAATTATCTATAACTAAAATTTATAATTTTGATATATGGAAAATTGAGACAAATATAATAAGACCACACACAGATACACACAACCACCTCACACACACGCATACGCACACACCCACGCCCACTCACACGCGCACACGCACACACGCTCAAAGGAGGAATCGAGGAAAGTGGTGGTAATGGAGGAAAGCCATGGAGGGGATGGAGAGATAACGAAGTGAGAAAAGGAAAGAGAGAGAAAGAAGTGGGATTTTTTTTTTGTTTGTTAGCTTTAATTAACATAATTAATAAAATAAAAATAAAATTATGTTTTAAACTAAAATATAAAAAGGTGACACATGGATTAGCAACGGGTATAACGGGTAGGATGATCGGTTGCTAGGGAAAAGTGGGTAGCTAAGGTTGGATTAGAAATAATCAAAAAGTAGGATTATTTTAGAGGACAAAGCAAAGCTTGGATTATTAAAAAATAATCAAACAGTAGGATTATTTTGGAGAACCAAGCAAAGCTTGGATTATTCTTGTTAAATTTTCCCAAGTTATTTTTTTTAAAAAAAAAGGTTATCAACGTTCTAAATCTCAAATTAATAGTAATAAATAATTATTTAAATAATAAAAAATTAAAGCTATGTTTCTCTGGAAGGTCGTGTTTATGGGAATGTTAAACTATAAGAAAAAACGCTAAATTAACCATAAAAATATACACTTGCATGTTTCCAAAGGTTGGAGGATAAATATCCACATATTTTCTTAAGTTTCTAATATTTATAAACTGACTTTATATGGTATAAATGGTGTCTTATATGGAAATAAATTGAACTCAGTATGTCTCATTCTCTCCCCTTCCTCTTCCCCAAATGCAGACATGGTGAAAGATTATCTTTATCAATAATACAAGGCAAGAATGGTTAAATTGGCAAAGTTAAATACCCACACAAGGCATATGGAACCAAAAACAAAAAAAAAAAAAAAAAGGATGTGAGAGAAAACCTTACACTAAGAATGTATTATCAGGAATTTCTGCAGGCATCAATGTGAAAATTGATAACAACCAACATGATACACACACAAATCCTGGTATCCATGATTTCCACGGAATTGCACGATAAAGATATAAGGGAGCTACACTACCAACAATTAGGAAGCACCAGGTGTACAGCTTCCTTTCTGTAAAGCTGTGTACCTACACAGGGGGTAAACCGTTCAAAGTAAAAATTTAGAAGTTTCATCAATCATTTTAAATTTCAATGAATAGCATTTTTAATTTGTTTAGCTAAAACCATACCAGAAATTCAAGAATAACCAATGACACAATGCCATAAGCTAGAAGTTTGACAAAGTAAGCAAATTTCTCCTTCTGAAAGCTTCTCAGTAAAGCATTTAAAAACTGGTATTGACTTAAAATTTGTGTCCAAAGGAAAACGGTCATTGCAATGTAAGCATGATAGAGAGGAGGAGAACGCTCAACAAGCAGTATTATAGAAAATGCCCCCATCAGCAAACTTCCAAGTATATAAACCTGCATGAAGAAATATTGTAAGATTATAACATAAAAAGCAATTAAAAAAAAAAAGGTTATTGACATCGTTAATAGAAGGAAATACAATTATTCTTACAGATAAACTAACAAGAATATAAAGTATGATGTTTCAAGCCAAGGCATTTGGAATACTCCAAAATGCAGACATAATGCAAAACAAGTTAAATGCTTCGATCTATAGACATAAGAGCATAGCATATGTGTTGAATGTTGAATAATGTTGACAGAAGTAAATATAAATATCAACTGGAAGATAGTGTCAATTCAAATAATATGATGCTTTTTCATACCATGATTACCATCTAGTGAATTTAATGCAAATAATATCAAACGATCAAAAAACCCAACTTAGTACCTAGTATTTCAGTCATACAGAAATAACAGCAGTAACAGGAATTAAAGTAAAGTGACAAAGCCCAAATTCATCACAGACAATATCAAAGCTACAAATTAATTTCTAGCAACAAGGTAAATAATCACCAGAAAAAAATATTGAAGAATCAAAATTTTCTCTTGAGTTCATTTTGCTACATTTAAACCATACAACTAAAACTTAGCTATGCATTATTCTCACTAGGGTCTCCTAGTGATACTTGTACCCGTAGCAGAATTTTCAATCCATATCCATGCCCTACTTGGACCCTTAGGGTCTAAAATTTTAAGACCCTTACCCGGACCCTATGGGTCTAACAGGGATATGGGTCCTTCACTAGCCTTTTTTCCCAATTTTTAATCGTTTATTTATTGTTGTACGATTGCATGTATTACACAAAAAACAAATAAACTAATACATAAGAACATGACCGATTAATTGGACATATCGTAAAACAATTAATAAAATATATATATTAGAATGATAGATAAACAAATTATTATTATCCATAAGCACATTACAATTATAGTTTTGTAAAATTAAGTGCACGAATAAGAAGTTAATAGCCTACTATTTATAATTGTCTTTCGTATCATACTCGATTTCATCATTAACATCCTACAAAATCAACATCCTTAAGATTTTTTTCTATTTAATTTTGAAACTTTGTCCAAGTTAATATATTATGCGGGTCTATGTACGGGTCTGGGTCTAAAAACATTATACCCGGACCCTTACTCTACCTGATGCCGCCTAGACCCATACCCTACCCAGCTACCCGTACCCATAGGTTCTAAAAAAATAAGACCCATACCCGTATTTTAGGGTAGGATCCGCCAGGTCTGGGTAGGATCCCAAACCCATTGCCATACCTAATTCTCACAAATTCTCATAGACACTCCTAATTGTGCAAGTCCTTGAAGAAGTTACTGCACAAGCTGATTGTTTGATACATAAAATCAAAAATGGATTAGCAGAAATAAGTAATAATTTAATGATACACTAGAACATTGAGAGTATGTTTGGAAGGAAACTCATGTGTAGAGAAATTTAGGGGTACAGATGGACAGTTATAACTAAAGTCAATTAAGCTGAGATAAGAAACTGCCATACTGCAAAGACTATACTCTATTGGGTTGTTATGGTAGAGCCAAGCTGAGTAATTAAGCAATACAACTGACTTTTCAATCTATTTAATTGGGAAACTACTCTGAAATAAATATCTTGATGGAATGGTAGAACCGTAGAATTTCATTATATGCAGTAGACACAAGCTAATTGACTTACATCTTTTGTAATTGTTAGTTTTCTTCACGTAAAAGAATTCACACCAACATTCTTTCTTTACAGTTTCATAGCGTCCTCTTCTCCTGACACATATCAGTGTCTCGCAAAGAGAGCAAGTTTTGCATGAATAGGCATCAGTTTTACATGACACATATTAGTTCCTCACAATATCTTGATGGAATGGAAGTAGAGTGCTCTAATAGTAAATTAAATAATTAAAAATTAAAAACAATCACAACTCCACAAGAATGGAATACATTATGCAGACAAATTATGGAAGTAGAGTGCTCTAGTAGTACAAAAATATATAACAATCACAACTCCACAACAACGGAACACATCTGCAAGTATCACAGAAAATTGGAGTAAAGAAACGAAAAAGAGGCAATCAGTAGGCATGTATTCTATGCATACCTTTCCCATCTTTTTGTCCACTTGACCAGCTTCCTCTCTGTACATTATCTGACCAGGCAAGCTAGTATATGATTGCAGCACGTGGATCACTAGATAAAATATCCAACCAATGTATCCAAGAATCACTACTGTCATGAGCATCATCCAGTCATAGGTTTGAAAATAATGAAGTCCTTCAAGCGCCAGTTTTCTGAGATTTTCAGATAGTTCCATCGCACCATGATAGTCTTTAGCAGAGATAAGGTCTTCAATTTTATCCAGAATCGCTGAATAGTTGGCCAGAGGCTTGAAAGTCTTGAAAAATAAAGAATTTGACTGTTTAACATCTAATTATTGTTAAGAAAAATAGTACTACCCACTAGTCACTAGATGTTACAGTCCACAACAAAATCAAAAGGAGCACACGAAAACATGAACAATGAACTATTACACCTACAGGTTAGTAGCATTAACATTCAAATATAACAATACAGAGTTCAGCAGGGATAAAATTACAAAATAAAAGAATAAAAAGAAAAAAGAACTATGACAACAAGAACAAAATTTAATAATCCTAGCAGTAGTTGTAGAAACAGAATTACTACTCTGCTTATATGAGATGGATGGTCCTAGATACATTGCACAAAATTGAGACAAAAGATATTACAGTGACAATCCGGAACCGCAAAACAATTAAACTTTATAAAGTAACATCTCATGGATAGCCTGCATACGAGGCTGCCTAAACCCTCTTCCTCCTTTATAAGACTAAGACAATGTCATCTTATATTAATTGGCAAACTAGGTCTCAGCTTGTAGCCCAGTAGAAGAGAGGGAAAGGCTTGATTCCAGCCTGTAAGTTTAACTCTTCACCTATTCCTAAAAACTCACATATTACAGCAATCACTTTTATAGACAGGCGTTTGTTTTGTAGATTTTAGGTATGAGGTATGAGTTTTGAATGATGATAACCCATACCATATGCTTATTTTAGAGAATTTCAATTTTAAACCCATACCTCAAACCCACATGGTATGGGGTTAGAAAACCCGAGGGGGGGGGGGGGGGTTGTATGGCTTATACCACACCTCTATTTATTTTTTGAAAAAAAAAAACCATTCTTAACCATCAACCAAACACAAGGTATATAAAAAATCAAGTTCCAACCCCATGCCATCGTTTTTCATTCTTGATTCCAAACCATACACTCACACCCTCTCCCATCTCTTGAAATTTTGAATTATGAGATTGCTGGATAATAATGGGAAAAATGGAAATTCACTTTTATTAAGTTCTAAGCATTAAGCATACGAAAACACCACGATGCCAAGTAGTTCTACCACTTGCTTTGTAGATCCAGTACTCATAAGATATAGTAAGAAGCTCTGTTATTTCAGAATACATGCAGCTATTATAGACAACTTATCTGTATCTCCTAGTACTAAGTGTAACATAACATCAGTACAAAAAACTAGTTTTCCCAAAAAGTAAGTAAGCTGTTATTTTCTTGTAGAAACAGTTCGTGATAACTTAGACAAGAAAACAATAACATGTGCATAAAATGAAAAAATGTTGACATGGAAAGTATGAAATCACGGCAAAAAGGATACATGACTTGCGGAGAAATTGATTTAAAATTTGTTTGGTATTAGCAAGCACAGCTTCAACTTCTTCAGCCTGGAAACTTTCAGTTAGTGGAATAAAGTTACAAAAAGAAATAATAAACAGATAATATCTGTCATACTGTTAAAGTATAGTGAAACAAATAATCTCTGAGCTTACCTCATTGAAGTCAATGTAATCAAGAGGTAAGCTTCCAACTGAGTTTACAGGACATGACTGACCAAGTAGAGTGGACTGTTAATAAGACAAACAAGAAATGAGAATAATACAAATAAGCTATAAATAAATAAAGAGGCATCAAACAGATGATCAAGGAAGATAAAACAACCATCAATGGTGAAATATCAGCCTGATTGACATCAACCCTCTCTATGCCATCAAGACCCCATTCATTTGGTGTTGGTGTGTCATGAGAATGCTCATCAACAAAACGGAAACCGCAATCAGAATGGTTGCTTGAGTTAAGCCTGGGAGTTTTCACTCCTGCTCCCCAAGCAACAAGGGGAGTATCAGTGTTTGAAGGATGTCCATCCCCATGACTACCTATGCATCAGCTTCAACAAGTCGAATGAAAAGCATAAGCACAAGCATATCAGATAAGAGTATGCAGCACATCAAAGTTATTCACTATGCTGGAATTGCAGCTTTTGATAATCTAGCATGCCTGATCTTTTATTTCCTTCTCCTTGATTTTGCCTACTCATTAACCAGCTCGTTATAGTCCATTAAAGTGTTTGAAATCCTTGAAGCAGTAGGCTGGAGTAGGTGGGAGGGAAAAAGTGTTTGTTGTGGGAATCTAGGTATAGACACATCATCAACTAAGGCACGGATTCTGTTATTCTAGATTCATGAACGGATGAACCACCAATTAAAGTCAATTATATACTTGTCCTTAAATTTACCAAGAAAAAAGAGATATTAAGAATTATGTCGTGATATGCACTTCAGTACTTCAATTTTTTCATTAATATTGGTTTCCGTAGAGGTTCCTCCACAAAAATACATAAAGAAACAGCTGAGCGATCAGTACAAATAGAAAGAAACACAATTCCGTAGCATTCATCTATCATTTATCACCATCATCTTTAAATATTGTACTTAAGCCCTGAATGCTTAGTTGGATTTGTTATTGAACAAGACAACCGCTTAATTTCACAACTATAGACTTAATTTCACAAATATAGCAAGGTTAAAGTTTCACATTGATAATGTTAACATTTAGATCCTCTGATAACAATAAGTCAATAATGACAGAATTTTCATGTCTTTGATTTAGTGAAGCTCAAAATCACAAGGAAAGATAGAGATTTTATGATAGGAAAGTTAGTGAAGCTCTGGAGGGAGGCTTCATTCGAACTTTCTGCATTCATTGACAAGTTAATTGTATTTCTTTTGCGAGGTTAATTAAAGAGATCAACTATGTGGGAAATAGAGTCAACTGGATATCAGAGGAGTTTCAGCTCAAATAGCCAACTAAGTGACGCTATAATTGAACTAGATATCTTGCCTGAGATTCTTTTCTTATTTGTTGAGGTGAGTTGATTGAAAATTAAATTTAAATACAAGATTGAATGTTTCAATGGTATTGTACTGCTCTCTATCCTACTATAATGAGAAAAGGATATGAAAGAGGAGAAACAAACTGAAAAACTGATGACGGCTTTATGGGTTTTAGTTTAGCCGTCCATTCTTGGAAGTGAAATGGTGAACAAAATAATCACTCCAGGAAACAAGACAGACAACCAAGCAATTTGTAGCTGTACCGGGAAATTAAATAAGGTCTAAGGCTCTAAGCACATTTTGATATAATATTGACAGCAATATAGATAAGGAAGCACACAAAAGATATAAAAACACACAAGATATAGGAATGGTACTCTTATATTGTATCGATGTCTTTTGTACATCATAAAACAACTAACAAGCCTCCTATACTCATACGTAACATTAATTGTAATAAGTAGAAAATTACTACTCCCTCCATTCTACATTGTTGGTTATGTTTGGTATCGGTTATTAAAGAAAAGAAGATAGTGGAAAGCAATGATTAGATATCACATATATCAAGTATTAAGATATTAAATATTTGTTTTGGGAGTACATAAAAATTTTGGTAATTAGGAATAGTTGCTTTGGGAGTAGGTAAATATATTGGCAAATGGGAATAGTCGCATTAGAAATATGTAAATTTGAGGGAAAATGTGTAAAAAAATTATTTAGGAAACTATTGAAACGTAACCAACAATATGGAACGGACGGAGTAACCATCAATAGTTAACATATAGTGTGTAGAGAGAGAAAAAAAAAAAAAAAAAAAAAAAAAAAAAAAAAAAAAAAAAGAAACACACATATAGTGTGTAGAAGGTGTTACAACCACCATACGACCATAGTTAATGGATGTCTTATAAATTACTTGACATTGCTGCACCTATTTTTCCATTGTTTTTGTATCTTTTGGGTCTAACAGTTAGTCCAATGGATGCTTTATAAATTACTTGACATTGTTGCACCTATTTTTCCATTGCTTTTGTATCTTTTGGGTTAAACAGTTAGTCGCTACGGACATACTGCTCTAAATCTAATCATTCAGGGCAAAAGAAAAATCGAAACCTGGAGTTAAAGAGACTTTAAATTCAAACAAAGGGTAAAGGGAATTGCTAAGTTGTCAATCAAGAATCAACAAAGGGAAATCAGGATTTGATTCGCATCTTGTTCCCTTGTTCTAGTAAAGCCTCTTTTTATATATAAAAAAAAAAAAAAAGAAAATGTTATACATAGCCCTTAGGGCTACATATAAGCATTAAATTTACACTTGAAAATCGTAAAAAGTTAAGAAATAATCAAAATATAAACACTAATTACACTAATTAATGCGTGTTTTTGTCATGAATTCCTAATTTAATACAATTTCCAAGAGTGTATTTAATGCTTATATATAGCCCTTAGGGCTACATATAACATTACCCTAAAAAAAATAATAATAATAAATAAATAAAAATATAAGGAAATGAAGAAAAACAAAAATAAAAAGCAGATGGAGAGGAATAATATAAGAATCAATTTTAAAGAGAAAAAAAAATATTAATTTTGAGTCTCTGACCTTTGTCACTCATCCCATGGTCTGCTGTAAAGATGTATGCAGTCCGATTGTCCTTGAAATGATCCTCCATTAGATTATAAACTCTCTCAGCAATGCTGTCCACAACCTTAACATTATTGAGATAAATAGAAGAGAATGGGCGATGAGCATGACCATTTGAATCACAACCCAAAAGGTGCAGAAAAATTGTAATGTCGTCCTGCTTAAGTAAGTGCTTCAAGTTCTGGTCTTCCTTAGAATTGTTCAAAAGGCTTTGAAATTGATCAAAGGACCATTCATCCAAAAATGATGCATCTGCATAAAAATTAACACTTAATCAAGCATATTCATGAATTTCCAAAAAGCGATTACAAATTAACTTTAAGACAATTCACTAGTCGCTAGTCTAAGTGAAAATTCAGGCGCGTAGACAGAGCTAATATCAATATGTTATCTTATTGAATAGATCATTGCTCACTATATACATATTGAGTTGAGATAATCCAAATATCTGACTTCAATTTCTCCCAACAAGTGTTGAAATGGGAGGCAATGTTGTAGTAACTTCACCAAACATAATACTAGACCTTTACAAACAATCAGAGCTCATTTTGCACAAAAGTACCTGTTAGAAGTAGTTCCAAACAGATAACCACAATAGACATATCAGAAACTTATCCAAGTGAAGAGTCTGTACTCATCAGCTCACATATAGTACATCTAACCAACTGCCAACAAGAAACTACAAGTGACATATTCAAAACAGATATAAAAAGTACCAGTGGCAAAGTCCTCAAACTCATGAGGATATGTTTTCCATGTGCTGTGAGGCAACGCGCCACAGAATATTGGCACAATATCAGGGCTGCCGTATGAAAAGGTATGACGGCTGCGGTTGAATACTGAATCAAATTCAACTGGATTAGCTTTCCACCCTGCATTAACGAACAAAACAGATTTAGACATAAAATATTGTCTGGAGGCAACCATGCAAATTTTATCTTGAAAAACAAATTGATCAATTTGAACAAAGGAGCAAGTTAAACAAAAAGATGACGGATATAAAGTAAGTACCTTTTGTAACAGCACTAGGATCTTCATAAAAACCAGCTATAATAGAGACATGTCCAGGCCTTGACTCTGTTGGAGGCCTGGCATGGGACACACCCCAACGCCCTCGTTCTTTTATCACACTTCTAAGGAAAGGTGCTCGGTAATTCCCTTCCTCATCCGGCTCATAGAATTTGTCAGCTCGCAAACCATCAGCTGCCATGTTCATTATAAGGGTTTCCAACTTTCAATTTACATCATGCACAAACTGATAGTCATTACTCATCAAACCTCATGTAGTGTTCCAAACCCTTACTATTAAACAGTCATTTGGTTTCACAACTAGAATTTAATTGACAAGCATAAAACTGCACTTTCATGATGGAAGCATGATCAACAACACTCAAAACATAAATTCCCTTTCAAAACATAAATTAATGAACCCACTTCAAAATTAATGCAAACCCAAATCATATACTAATCATATATTCTAATCATCTAAATCAGCATTAAATATTGCATTATAGAAGCATAATCATTTGCATTGGAACATTCATCTGTTCTCAAACGATAAATTGCTACAAACCCCAGATCATAATTTCTAACAACCATCATTATAATCAAAGAAATGCCACTTCAAAGTAAAAATTAAAGCAAACCCAATTCATATAATCCAACAAAATATCAAAACAAGCTATAAATCATCAGATTAATGGGTAATAAAATAGCAAGTTACCAACAAGAAGAACGAGGCGTTTAGCAGGAGGAGAAAACCGGGGTTTGACTGGATCCATGCCATGAACAATTGGAGATTTGAAGTAAATGTCGAAAATGCTTAACATATAAACAGCATGAAGAACAACTCCCAAAAGTACTAGCCATTTCTCTCTTCTCTTCACCCAAGTTCTGTTAATTTTGGTTTTCTTCCTTAATCTCATGCTTTCTTCATTGCTCACATTGTCACCCAGAATACCATCCCTCCTCATTTCTCTCTTCTTCTTTCTCTTGATCTTGAATTGGGCAAAGGGTGTTAGGCTTCTAAACAAAGCTTATTAGTTGACGCTCGTCTTTGCTCTTCCCTCTAAAAAAAAGAGAATTCTATTCTACAGTTTGGGTTCGAAGGTGACAAAAGTCGAGCAAGTTCCAATTTTTCACCTTGATAAATGTTTATTAAATACAAGTAGCATTTTTAATAAATAAGTTGCATCAAAATTTGTGGTTTTTTATTAAAAAAAAAAAAACTATTTCATTCCATACAAATCTTTAATCATATACTTCCTCCGTTTTTTTTTTATTGCATCATAAGGTTTTGGAGGCAAAATTTGGTAGTGGGAAAAAGTAAGAGAGAGAAACGTAAAAATACAAAATTGTCCATGTAATATAAGATAAAATAAAAAGTAAGTGTGAAAAAGTAAGGGTATGTTGGGTATTTGCAGTGTGAACATAGATATTTTTTATCCTAAAAAGGAAATGATGCAATAATAAGTAAACTTCCTAAAGTAGTAAGTGATGCGATAAAAAAAGAACGGAGGAAGTATATTTTTAACACAAACTATTAGGTGTGGGCACCCGCACCCATCGTTTGGTGCGGCCATTCTATATTTTACTCCTTTTCACATTTTCGCTTAGAAATCAGAAAACTAAATCTTTCTCCCTCTTTTTTTCACCAATTTGCAACTTCACACCACCAATTCACGATTTTCCATTTGCAATTCGCGATTTGGGTACGGTGATACTCAATTTTTGGTCTCTGAAGGAAGTTGTGGTGGGGGCGTTTGCTGGTGGTCATGGGGGCGTCACTGGTGGAGGAGCCATTCGCTGGTGGTTGTGGAGGCATGCGAACGGCGGTGGTGGGTGGGTTCGATGACGGGGGTTGGTGATGCTATGGTTGGTGGTTGCAATGGCAGGGGAATTACCATTGAAGGAAGGAGGAAGGTTTGGAGGAGAGAGAAAGAAAGAAAAATGGGGAAAATCTTTACTAATATAATTTTGCTATTTTGTGCCAAGTTGGCCAAGGAGGGTGTTCCAATCGTAGGGGATCCTTCTCCTTAGATGCCCATGGCTCATTAAAAGCCTAGGATTTTACACTTGTTAGGGTGTATTAGGATTTGAATTCCTGACTGTTTGGGAGACCTTGAATTAAAAAGATACTCTCATCACGCTTTTTTGTAAGAAATAAGTTGGAGTCGCTAATGAGTTTTAGGAAAACACATAAACCTCGTTCATGTCTTTCTCTCAAGTGGAGTTCAAGGGATATTTTGCACGAATTGTAAGTTTATCCACGCCCAAATTGGTGTACATAAACCAGAAATGAGTTTGGGAGCGAGGGTACTAAAATAACGTTCCTTTTAGAGAGGAATCGCTATTCTAGCCCTAGTTACGGCCTCTACTAGCTCTTCCTTTTCCACAATTTCATTAGCAAACAATATATGCAACGTGATACCTAAAACTAAGTTAGTTGATTTTATTTACACACATTGATCACGTAGGAATTACATTGTAAAGTCTTTATTCTTTATTTAATTCAAATTCGTGAGAAAAACAAAATAAACAAGATTCGCCTTGGCTTAAAGTGATCACTCAACAATGAATTATTCAATTATGTTCTTATTTAACGTAAGATGCTATGTGGAATTGATTAATTAGAAATCCATTTAAAGTGATCAAACAACACTAATTAATTAAGGAAAAAGATAAATGTAGTCCTAAGGGCTGCATATAAGAAGCTAAAAATGGAAATAACTAATAATTAATAAAAATTTATTACACCGATTTACTCGTGAATTGTCGATAAATTCCCAACTTAATACTAAAAAGGAAGTATATTAAATGCTTATATGCAGCCCTAAGGGCTGCATAAAGCATTACCCATTAATTAATTAAAATTATTTTAAACAATAAAATAAAGGTGATTGATCTAAGTGCTCGGGAATTTACCACTTCTCTTTGCTAGATTTTCGTTTAGAACACTTATGGGCTCCTTCTTGTTCGGGAACCTCCACCGTAGTAACAAATATTAAGAGGGATGAGTGTTTAGGACAAGAAGGTTTGGTTGCACACAAGATTTTTGCCAGCATTTTAGGTTAATTTATGTCTGTTTGAGCCTCGTATTAAGACCCTAGCCTATTTCTAGGAAAGGGATACGATTAGGGTTTTGAGCATTCTATCGCAGCAGGTGTCTCCCGCATCTGAATGGGTTGCGCGCGACTCACCAGCGCAATTGATTTGGTCGCACTGCTATAGGCAGTGCAACAGATTGTCTTACGCGCGGTATTATGGTAAGATTTGATTTCATATTTTCATAAAATTATGAATCTTTCGCAAGCGCATCACTGGAAGTTGCGCTGGATGTTGCGCGCAACCTTGTGAGTTACGCGCGCCAGACCAGCGCGACTCTTTGAGATGCACGCAGATTTATCTGCAACAACATCAATTTTAACCTAGGCACCTCTAAATCCATCATTTTTAGGGTTTAAGCTCGGGCTTAAGCCTAATTATGATCGGGCTTAGTTAATTGGACCTTAATGCTTTTGCTTTTGGGTTAGGCTAGCTTATTTTTATGTTCTTGTAATTCAATCAGTTATCCATAAGTGTTCTTCACATTAATCCAACACGAAGATGATTTTATTTATCGTCATTACACTTCCTGTCGGGACAGGAGGCCAAAAGTAGATGTCTACAGTTAGCCCCCACTTTGATCGAGTCTAGGATAGACGAGGATCAAAGTAGCCAAGGAAATAAATCCGAGATTTTTAGCGGAGTTCTCAAAGAATAGAGAATCTTTCAGAAATGTTTAAGGGATGTCGAAACAATCCTTGCATGGTTCGCTAAATGCTTAAGACAAATAGTTGTTAAGGCCTTATAGGAGTACTTTCTAGTCTTAATGCGCTAAAGAATCTAGATTGATCCTTTGCAATTGTAGAACGCTTTTACAGGTAAAGGTGTTCTGGGTGATGTCATGTCATGCGAAGAAATCGGTTTAAAAAATATTAAAAGGGGATGATGTCCTTTCAATCATGTCATTGTTGGTCTAAAGTCCCTCGATATGTCATTAAAACTTTAGCCTAATTTTAACAAGTTTGTAAAGATGATAAAAAGAGTGTTTTGGGTTTCGCAGCCTGAATGTTTCGGCTTTCGTAGCTTGAATGATTCAGCTTTCGCAGCCTGAGTAAAGTTCTCGATAATTCGCTTGTCAAAACACAATACTCGGTCTTTACAAGATAGAAATACATGTCTTAGGACTGGAGACATATATCCAAATCCAGTGAGAGAGAAGAAAATTGGCAACTCTCTAAGCAGTTTTGTCCACAATATGAGTACACGTGTCTTAGGACTAGGGGCACGTGCCTACATAGATGCGATATCGCATGTCGCTCTTTATACAGGGGGTGGACGACAGCCTAATTGTCTAGTAAGCCAGTAAGCTCACTAACTACCATATTTACTTCTAACCAAGAAGTGTCTGTTCTCAAATGGTTCGGCGCGCCTGTCGACTCGTGAGCTAAATCCTAAAGTAAAGTAAAGTAAAGTAATTCTACCTTTTCACTACGAGTGGTAGATCCCGTGTAAGCTAGGAAGAGGTGAAATTTTTCGAAACACCTACGCCATACATTTTTATGCTGTATGATAATGCCTCACAATTTTACGTTGTATGATAACATGTAGGAAATATTTCAAGCATTATCTTAAACTTGAACCCCACTGTGATCATACACTTAAGCATGGTGGCGTCCAATGGGAAGGAAGCTAGAGCAAAAGAGTCGCCAACAAGTTTTAGGAACTTGTAAACCGTTCACAGGGTGAAGGTTACACCCCTTAACGATCCATAAGATTGTCAACTCCAATAGGTCTGGAACCATGAATGGTGTTCGACGATGAGGGTACGAATCCAATCTAAAAGAGAAAGAACTCGCCCTAAAAATAAGCCTCTACTTTATTCTACTCGTATTCATGTGCGCTCTCTGACTAACTGTAAGGAGGGGATTCCCATTGTAAGGGGTCCTCTCCTTAAATGTCCATGGCCCTTTAAAAGCCTAGGACTTTACACTTGTTAGGGTGTAGTAGGATTTGAATTCCTGACTGTTTGGGGGACCTTAAATTAGAATTGATTCTATCACTACGCTTTTTTGTAAGAAATAAGTAGGAAGTCGCCAATAAGTTTTAGGAAAACTCATAAACCTCATTCATGCCTTTCTTCCATGTGGAGTTCATGGAATAATTGGGATAAATCATAAGTTTATGACAGGGTAAAGTCGTATCCCCTAATCAAAAGTAATTACCTAAGTCCTCTAACTAAAGTAGATAGGGAAGTAGGGTCAAACTCCACAAGAAAACAAGTCTTTTTACTCCTAATTAATTATTATAATCTAAATTATCTAAGTAACCAATATTATTGTGAATAAATTCTATACTACGAAGAATAAGGTCGAAAGAAATAAAGTAGGGGAAAATCAAATATTAAAAGACCTAGGGCATAGTTTCACTAATAAACAATATTCCAGGGCAAATCATAATAAGCAATCATCAAGCATTGATTAATCAGATTATAAAGGGCTTTCGCTACGTATTATAATCACAGAGTTAATTTACCGGTATTAAATCTGATCTGTCGAATCTCTACTTAACCATTTATAAATTAATCCACCTATTGAAACTAAGCCTAAACATCAATTCTCATCTGTCGAATCTCGAATTAATATTGTTAAACTCATACAATTAAATCTGGCCAAACCTAATTGCAAAGCATTAAATCAATCAATAGGAAATTAACCAAGCATTGATAATTAACAATCACAAAATTACCCCTTCATCTCATTTATTAGATCCCCATAAACCCTAGAAATAAAACTACTCAAGCATCATCATAACTAAACTAATCAAATTAATAAAGCAAAGCATAATCAAAGAAGTAAATAAAATAACTGAAATTAAAAGAGAAGAAATTGTTACCAAAAGAAATCTGGATTAATGAAAGTAATTAAGAACAAAAGTTGAGAGAGAATTTAAGAGAGAGAAATATCCTAAGTAGAGAGAGAAAATCTAAAGAAGAAGGTTATTAGAATTTACGTACATAATTCGTACTTAAACATTTCTCAAAACAAAAATAAAAACTAATCTAATCAGCACTGAGAAAAACACAGCGCCCGATCGGGCGAAGGGCCGCCCGATCGGGCCCGCCTTTTTTACAACGCCCTGCTGGTATGTCGCGCCCGATCGAGCTTACGCTCACCTGATCGGGCGCGCTTCTTCCTTGAAGGTGCTTGTGCGCGCATCCACCCGATCGGGCGTATGC